TCAGATTCTTTTTTTTTTTCACTTGAAATTGCATTTATGCTAATACACAGTGATTTCACATAGGTTGATTTATATTTGCTTACATTTTTACAATAAAATGATCTACATGTGTCTTAGGGTTTTTATTGCTGTGAAGAAACACCATGACCACAACAACTCTTATAAAGAAAACATTTAATTGGGGTCGCTCACTTACAGTTTCAGAGGTTCAGTCCTTTATCATCATGTCAGGGAGCATGGCAGCAGGCAGGCAGATGCCGTGCTGGAGCTGAGAGTGCTACATCTTGTGGCAGCAGGAAGTCAACTGAGAGACTGGGCAGTGTCCTGAGCATAGAAAACCTCAGAGCCTGCCCCACAGTGACACATTTCCCAACAAGGCCATGCCCACTCTGTCAAAGCCACAATTTCTAATAGTACCACTCCCTATGAGATTATGGGAGCCAATTATATCCAAACTACCACATTCCACTCACTGGCCCCCATAAGCTTATAACAATATCAAAATGCAAAATGCAATTTAGTCCAGTTTCAAAAGTCCCCATTGTTCATAACAGTCTCAACAATGTTTAAAAGTCCTAAGTTCAAAGTCTCTTCTGAGATTCATGCAATCTCTTAACTGTAATTTACATTTTCTTTTATAAAATCAAAATAAAAAACAGATCACATACTTGCAACATATCATGGCACAGAATATACATTACCATTCCAAAACGTGGGGAAGGGAGCATAATGAGGAAATACTAGAACAGAGCAAGACCAAAAACCAGCTGGGCAAACTCTAAACTCTGCACACCTTCATGTCTGATATTGACATGCTCTTCAGATCTCCAACTCTGTTCAGCTTTGTTGACTACAACACATTTCTTTCTCTTGGACTGGTTCCACTCCCTGTTAGCAGCTCTTCTCAGCAGGTATTCCATGACTCTGACATCTCTTAACATCTTGGGTTCTCTAAGGCAATCCAGGCTTCAACTTCACAGCTTAATGTAATGGCCTCTCTACTAGGCCTCTATTCAGAGACACCCCTGACACATGCCTGGCCTCAGTGGCTTTCTACAGGCTCAGAGGCAAATTCCATAACCCATTTCTTTTACCTTTAACTGTAAACCCAGAACCACGTGGCTGAAGCTGCCAAGTTCTGCTGCTTGCTGCGGCTGGAACTTGGCTCCCTTGTTCAATTACATCTTTACCAGCTTGCTTTCTTTCACTGTCTAAGCTTGACTGTCCTAAAACTTGCTCTATAGACTCAGAGATCAGCCATCCTCTGCCTTCCCTGTGTTGGGATTAAAAGTGTGCCCACCACATCTGCTCTAAGCTTTTCTTTCGTTTCTTTCCACTTAGCTGGGTGGGATCTTGCCCTGAGGTCATCACTCCCTTTCTTCCGTTTCTTAATATGTTTATCTCCATGAACACAGGATTTAGTTCCATTCCACTTCCTGATGCTCTTCTTCTCATCAAAATTTACATTTTGTAATTTATCCTGCTCAGCTTGTTCCTTTTCAAGCATGAACACGAATAACCAGACAACAGAGTCTTTTATTTATTAGGCTGTTTTGAGATTTCTTCTGCCAATGGAAATAATCCAAGAAACTCTTCATTTTAGTCCCAGGCAGACTCTTTAGGGCAAAAAGCAGCCAGCTTCTTTGCCAAAATACCACAACAACGATCTCTAGACAACATACTAAAATTCTTCTCTGAAACCTCTTGAGTGAGCACCTCATAGTTCAAATAATTCTTAGCACCACTGTCTTCCATGCTCCTACTAGTATGGCCCATTAAGCAGTGCTTAAAGCATTCCACTGCTTCCCAAACTCAAAGTACCAAAGTCTAAATTCCTCCAAACAAACATAGGGTCAGGCCTATCACAGCAATACCCCAGTCCCTAGTACCAACTTCTGTCTTAGGGTTTTTATTTCTGTGAAGAGACATCATGACCACGACAACTCTTATAAAGAAAACATTTAATTGGGCTTGTTTACAGTTTTAGAAGTTCAGTCCGTTATCATCATGATGGGGAGCATGGCAATGAGCAGGCAGACATGGTGCTGAAGCTGAGAGTGCTACATCTTGAAGGCAAAAGGAAGACAACTGAGAGACTGGGCAGTGTCCTGAGCATAGGAAACCTGAAAGCCCACGCCACAGTGACACACTTCCTCCAACAAGGCCATACCCACTCCAACAAAGCCACACCTCCAACAAAGCCACACCTCCAACAAAGCCACACCTCCAATAGTGAATGTAAATGGGAGCCAATTACATTCAAATTACTACAATGGTGTTTGATTTCTTTCAACTCTGTATAATGTGAAATGTGCCACTAGATAATACAAGCATTGTCTGCCTTAACAATGAAAGTGCCTGTGGCCAGAGGACACTGTGCTGTTTGTCTTTGAATGACTTTCTGGCATACTGAGAAAACAGTCAATGTCCTGACTTTGGAAAATTCTTATATCTCTTACCCATTAGCTTACTTTTCAGGAGTTTTAAAAATAAGCCCTTGGTGGCTGGAGTGATTGCTCAGAGGTTGAGAACATCATGTACAGCTCTCACAGGGGATGTGAGTTTGGTTCCCAGTGACCATCTTGGTTGACTCACAACTGCCTGTAGTTCTAGAGAACTCTGAGGCCCCTTGCTGAGCGATATGACGCTGTCTCTTTCACCACTAGTTTCTGTACCCTGAATTTCCCCTCTATCTGGATTGAAACTGGTCTCTGTAGACACCGAGTCCTGTCAGAGCAGGGACTTTGTGTAATTGTTTATCAAGTCTGTAAGATGAACCAAAAACTGAATACTGTATACCAACAAGGAAGCAAGTTGTATATGGATTATACACATAGAATCAGAGAGTTTAGGACATACTGTTCTGCTTTATTATATTTTATTTCCTAAAATAAGGTGGTAGTTAACAGCCATGTGCTCTAGCTTGTTTTCTTCACCTAACACTTAGGGGAGTATCTTCAGTTTTCCTCTGGAGACCTCTGGTGACTTTCAGAGACAGAGACACCGATGAGATTCACTTCCCTCATTAGGTCTCATTTCCTGTCTAATTATGTTCCACTTAAGCGGCACTAAGGTTGTGTCTTCGAGTTACAGAGATAAACACCTAAGGAGGATGTGAGGGAGGCAGTGTGGGGATCAGTGCCGAGACACATGGTCTTGTCATGACCACTCTACAGTCCAGTGGTTTCAAACAACAATCATGTGCCAGCCCTGGGTCCAGCTGGCCCAATCCAGGCTGGGATCAGCTGGGACAGTTTCGCTAGTGCAGCTGCGTCACATGTCTCTATTCTCCTGGGACCCATTGTGATGGTGAGATCAAGAATGCAATTTCAGTTGTAGGGGTGCTTTTTCAAGCCTTTGCATCGTGTTCACTGGTATCCCTCTGACTAAAGCAAAAAAAAAAAAAAATGGGGTGAGGAGCATCTGCTACACGGAGGGGGCATGCCTGTGTGGACAGGAGTAAGTGCATGGAGCAGTACTCTATGGTAGACCTCCCTCCCATTCTGCACCACTGGAACCTTCCATCCATCGACCCAGCCACCTTTTCACTGTCACACCTATTTTCCCTTTCATTCTGCTACAGTTTTTTAATTTGATTTTTTGCTCGCTTTTTACTTTTTTTCTGAGTGTGAATGTATCCATGTACAGGTGTGCATGTATGTGTGTGTGTACGCGTGCGCGTGAGCGTGCTGTGGTGAACATGTGGAGGTCAGAGGACAGCTAGTGGGAGTTGGTCCTCTTTCCACCACGTGGGACCTAGCGATTGGGCTCAGGTTTTCAGGCTGGTGGCACTTGTCTTTACCCACCAAGCCATTGCGCTGGTCTGGACATGAGTTTTAACTACTTTTTGCCACAAAGCTGTTTGGCTGTTTCTTGGCTTCTTAGTTCATGAAATGATCAAAGGGCAAAAGACCAAATTCTACTTTAAACTAAGAGACAAAAGGAAGGGTGAGAAACCCTTTCAGAGCTTTGAAAGAGGTGGAAGATTAGTATAACAAATTTAAAAAGTTATGCTTTGAATTTTAAGTGAATTTAAGGCACCACATATTAACATACTGACAGTTTGCTGTGGAAAACTGTATTGCAGATCTTTATGGTGAAGGTACTTCTTCCATTTGATTGAACAAATTCAACAGTTTGTTATTTTGACTTTTTCTCATTTCTCTTTAGTATTGTTTGCTTAGAGTAGTGCTTTAAATGATCCCTTGTGTAGCTGGAATTCCTTTTGGGCCACCAACAAGCTCCCAAATAAAGACATAGAGACTTATTATTAATTATGAATGCTCAGTCTTAGCTTAGGCTTGTCCCACTAGCTCTTTTAACTTAATTTAATCTGTTTCTATTCATCTATGTTTTGTGTTTTACATTTCTTTCATTCTGTATGTCCTACTTTCCTGCATCCTCTGTGTCTTGTCTGGCTGGCTCCTGGCACCTCTATCTCATCTCCTTTTCTTTATTCCTCAAGCCTAAAGTCCTCCTACTTACTCTCCCTGCCCAGAAGTTCCACCTATACCTCCTCCCTCGCCATTGGCCATTCAGTTTCTTATTAGACCAATCTATGGAGGTGCCCTGACTTCCTGCTTCTAGTTCCTGGCATTGTCAGGATGCACTCCTTTTGTTTTAAGTCTTCAACTTTGATAGTGTGTCCTGGGCAGCCTGAGAACTGACAGAGCATGTCTGCTTTGATGGTTTTGTAAAATGAGAATCTCACAGTCCGCAGAGGGGTTATTTTGGTCTCTGGGTTGTCTGGTGAGCTGGCTTGTGTTGATGGAGCAGCATCCCTTAGCCACGTGGTGCTCATTTGGCCTGTTGGGTCCACCCCAGGCCCCACCCTCTTTCCCATCTTGGTTCTGCTGTGAGTTGTATGCAGAGTTGTATGTGAGTTGTATGATGTGAGTTGAAAGCACTCAGCATGACACCTTCTTGGATAATTGCTTCTCTCAGTTGGTTTTGGGCTTTGTTTCAGGCCTTTCACTTGCTACTTACCTCCAGGGCACAGGCCCCAAATTTAAAATGTTGGAAAAACCAAAAGCCAAAACCGAGAAAAACACCAATAGTAGCTGACCACCTTGTGCTCAAGAAGCAAGAGGAGGTGACCAAGTGTTTGTCCCAAGGTGCTTCTCAGCTTCAGTTCAGTTTCAGGAAATTAGTGCCAAAAAGGACTGAGAAACTAGAGTTCAGATTTTTTTTTAAAGTCTTTTTTGGTTATTATTTTTAAGTCTATTGTTTTTAAGACAGTTCCCAGCAAGAAATAAAACACAACCTCAAAAGAAGCAAAGTACAAAACAAGCACCATGAACTTCAAACACAAATGTATTTGTTGGGGGCTGGAGAGATGGCTCAGCAATTAAGATCCATCCATAACTGTGGAGATATTGTGTTCCCCAAAATATTGTGCACCCTAATAAACTCATCTGGGGTCAGAGAACAGAACAGCCACTAAATATAGAGGCCAGAAAATGGTGGCACACCTTTAATCCTATCACTTGGGAGGCAGAGATCCATCCAGATCTCTGTGAGTTTAAAGCCACACTGGAAACAGCCAGGCATGGTGACTCACACCTTTAATCCCAGGAAGTGAGCCTTTAATCCCAGGAAGGGATGGCAGAAAGCAGAAAGGAATATAAGTTGTGAGGACCAGGAACTAGAGCCTGGTTAAGCTTTTAGGCTGTTGAGCAACAGTTCACCTGAGATCTATTTTGATGAGGACCCAGAGGCTTCCAGTCTGAGGAAACAGGATCAGCTGAGGAATTGGCAAGGTGAGGCGGCTGTGGCTTGTTCTGCTTCTCTGATATTCCAGCATTCACCCTAATACCTGGCTCCAGGTTTGATTTTATTAATAAGACTTTCTAACAATTCATGCTACACATAACCATCCATAACTCTTGTTTCAGAGATCCAGTGCCTTCTGACCTCTATGGGCACTGGGTACACATACATACATGTAGGCAAGACACTCGTACACATTAAATAACATAAAGCTGAGAAAAAAAATGTCTTTGTTGGTCATACTGTTCTATGATCTCCATTCGGTAGTAGAAACTTTTATGGTATCTGAAGGTAGTGAGCAGGAATTCTCCAAATATTTCTTAGATTTTAGAAGGCCCTTTAAAAAACGTCTCCATTCCCAGCTTCTAGAAAATGGGCCTTCGAAGGTTCTCAGGTTGCCTTATTGAATAATACACAGACATTTGAACATGTTAAATATTTTATTCACATTGTTTATAAACTATATCCACCTGGAAAACACATGAATCCAAAAATAGATTATTTTACAGTAATTCACATTTTTTTTTTAAACAAGTTGCTTTTGAGGTTAAACTCTAAACATAGAGGTCTTCAGCCTGCATTGCTATTCAGTGCCTCATCACTCGCCAGCCCGGCTCTGGAGGAGCTCAGGTTCAGGGGCAGTCAACCTTGTTGCAGGTCATTAACACCTTGCATGCCAATGGCAGATGAGGGGATGTCAGTGCAGACTTTAACCATGCACGTTTGTCGATGTAAGTTCACTGTTCTTATTTTTGTCAAGAGAATCTGTTGTAGAGTTTGCATACTCATCAGGCAAGAAAAGAAAAGAGACTGACGATGTGTTCGCCTGTCATGGGCTGTTAGGACATTTTCTGCTCTGTAAGGGTTTAACGTCTTAGCCCCAGGGGGAATCAATGAATTCTGATTCCATCATGTTGACAGTTTGAATCACAGAAACAGCAGTGATTTAGAAATCAATGCACATGTCTGTTGACTGGGTCTCTGTAGAAAGGACGCTAGGCACCAGTGAGGAGAAAGGGGGAAGTGATCTCAGTCACAACTCCCAATGTGACTAGTTACAAGTATGTAAGTTCAGACGGATTGGCTGCGGGTCACATGACTGTGGCTAAGTGGTCAAAACGATGATCTGGTTAAGAAACTCATTATTAACTTAGGCTACATCCAATTAGGTCCCAGCTTAGTGGCTTAGCTGTTTTATTAAGAAATTCTTCTATGGAATATGACTAATAATTTCAAATCCAAAATAAGCACATCTTACGTCTCAAGCTCTCCTAAAAATTAATCACAGGTGAGCTGCCTCAGTTGGCCACTCAGAACCTCTGGAATGGGAGGATCATGTGTCCTTAATGGTGCAATGCGGCCCTTTTTTAAAGCAGCACCCACAACACTGACTACCTTGGCTCTAAACACTTCATTGGGGAAATAATGTCTCACCAAGTTGCCACCCAAGACCATCCCTGCCTCCCCCTTGAGATGAAGACGACTGCTTGAGGGTCTCTGCCATCACCCCAATAGACAAAAACTGAATCCAAATGTAAGCTGAGATGTGAAGAAATTTTATCATCGTGTTTGCAGGTTTTGAAGAGGAGGAGGGGGAGGAGGAGGAGGAGGAGGAGGGAGGAGAAGACTTTCATATGTCTATTTTGATCTGATTGTTTCAAACAACAGAAATCCATCAAAGGAGCTTGGTGTCGGCGTAGATCATAGTTTGTCTTCTTGCCACCCGTGCGCATTCTTTCCAAATTTGTACACTAACCTCCGGTCAACCCGCTCCAAAATCCCTGTTTTATAGTAGTATCTGTGGAAGCAAGCAGAAGAGAGAGAGATCCAGGGAAGGTTTGCACTCCGAGAAAACAACAGCACATAAACATTCCTTGTTCCTCTCGGGTGACAGGGCTTTACTGACCCTGGTATTTCCACACCCTGTTATTACCTTACACTTAAACCCTTCCCAGACACCTTGAAGACTGAACCTCACCACCGTGGGTTCAGCATGTGTGCGTGTGCGTGTGTGCACGATGGCTTGGGTTCAGGGTGATCCCCCCTCCCCACCACCCCCTGGGAATGCTGCCAAAACTGCAAAGGATGGTGGGTCACTTTACAAGCCGTAATCCCACCTGAAACTAAGAAGAGGTTTAGCTCCTGACCCTTTCATGTAGAGTGGGGGGAACGCTGTGAAAACAGTGTGATTTTCTGTGGCCGGCTATTTTATATAACTCCTCTTTGCAGGCTCACGGTGTCTGATGCTGCTCGATTACCTCAGGGCTCTGCTCAGCTTCTCATATGTCATCCTGTCATTCTTCTTCCTTTGTCCCCACATCTTGGCCAGGGCTTCTGACTTAACCACTCGGAAAATGCCCTGCTCCCTGTCTTCCCATTCCAGGATGCCACAGTTTTCTTCAGGAGACAGAAGCAAATCTCTGACAAATTCCCACAGGTGAGAGCTTTGGAGGCCTTTGGGAAAGAAATAGAATAAAGTCAGCTTCTTTCTTTTTAAACTGGCTTTTTTTTTTTTTTAAAAGAGAGATTGTGTTTCCTAGTAACATCATAAATGACACCCATGAAGTCTCACCACCAACATGACTGCCTAATCATGAGCTGAACAAAGAAGACACCAATGGACATGCCAAACTGGACAGGGAAAAGCCCACGAGGCCTCAATTCTACACAAAGAACTGTAGGCAACTGAGGAAAGCTGGGAGGGTGAGAGGTGGCTCCCCTCAGGGAAGAGCACACCAATTGGTTGTTCAGCGCCAAACGGTCAGTCCTGAAACATAATACAAGTAACAATATACGGACTGGATAGGTCATATTTAGGAATGTATACATATATACATATGTGCACGCAATAACAATTAGTGAAAAAAGAGGTCATGACTTTGAAGGAGAGTAAGGGGAGTATATGGGAGGGTTTGGAGGGAGGAAAGGGAAGGGAGAAATGATGTAATTATAATCTCAAATAATTAAAAAAATATGAGGGATGTTAAAAGAAAAGAGAGTGGGAGGGAGGGAAGGAGAGAGAGTGAGAGAGAGAGAGTGAGAGAGAGAGAGAGACAGAGACAGAAACAGAGAGAGAGGTGTAACTTCTGATTAACCTATGAGAACTGTTATTGGACTGGACACCGTTCACTTTGCATGCTCTGCTTAGAGCCTTACTAAGTTGGAAAATGTCTATTATCTGATAAACTATAAGCAAAATCCCCACACAGAGACATGAGATTTAAAGCACTATGGCTCCTCATGAGCTCACTCCTTTCTAATGGGCAAGAGGGTTGCATTAAGATGGGAGACCTACCTTTTCCTACAATAAACAGAAGAGGGAGCAGAGGGAGGTGGGGGGAGAGACTGGGAGGAGAGGAGGGAGGGGAAACTGTGGCCAGGATGTAAAATAATAAATAAATAAATCTATTTTTAAAAATAACATCTGGTACCCACGGCCATTCTGCAGTTTCATTTATTACAAGGAGTTGGTTTTTCTCTTGTGCCTTTAGGGATGGGTAAGACTGACTGGGTTATGACTGCCTGGATTTGGGTCTGGAATTTGCCTCTTCGTGGCCCTGGAAATGCAGTCTCCTTAGTTGCTGTCAGCATTAGAGGAGTAATAAGGTACCTATGTCATACTGTGGGCTCGAGGGTTTGATGGTTTAATGCATGGCAAGTGACTAGACACAGGCCTAGCACAGGGTGACTGCTTGCAGGGCAGATCTCAGCGCTGGGAAAGGCTCATGGACTGGCCAATTCCCCACGCTGTCTTTATTCTCTTGCCCTGAGTACTTCAGTGAGAAGACCACACAGTGGACTAGGAAACAGAAAACTCTCCTTCAGTAATAGAACCCAGCCAGAACATTTCTTTAATTCTTAAAATGCGATGCCCAAGTGAAAATAACGGTTTTGATCCCATGTACGAAAAGCAGTCAACGATTTCTCCACCACCTCCCCGGGGAAGTGACTGCTCCCACTCCAACACGTCATTCCAAAGAAAAACTGCCTCAAGGAAGACAAAGGGTGTCTCTGCTCTTACTTGTTCGACTGTGACAGTCTTGACTCTTCATGCCACTTGTCTTCAAGCAACTGGAATCAGCATCTGAAACAGAAGGACCCATGGCAGTGGGGGAGCCTCAAACGGCACCCCAGAGAGCGGAAGTCAACTGCCAGCCTTTGCAGTAGGAGACTTTAGGGCGGTTAGGAGATGGAGGGATGGGAGGTGCTCGATCCTGGGACCTGCTGTAAGTGCATGCTGGCCTCCTGCTGGAATACAAGAGAGAACACACCGGACGGAGTCCCTACTCGTGTGGCTAGGTGAAGCCCAGGGGAAGCAGACAAATCACCTTCACCTGTTGTTTGAAACGTCATCAATACACAACATTGCATAGAGAATGAGGGAGAGAAGTGGTTACTTTATGAGGGAGGCTCTCACAAGGGGAGCCGGCTACATTATGAACTAGGAGAGGAGGAGGAGGAAGAGGGGAAGGAGGGAGAGGGGGAGAGAGGGGAGGGGAAGAGAAGGGAGGGGGACAGGCGAAGAGGAGGCAGAGGAGGAAGAGGAGGAAGAGCAGGAGAGTTTTAGGTAGAGGGAGCTCTACTTAGGTTTTAGGTAGTGTGCACTCTGCTCTTGCCATCCCAAGTACCCAGGAAGCTTGTATACCCTGTGGCTGGAGAGGGTGGGAGGTGCTGCTGCCATCCATGGAGGTTGTAGGCAGTGGCAGATCATGATTTTGGAGGCTGGATGATGGTTTGGGATTTTAAATTAAAGTGAAAGCAGAGATTCCCCTCACCCCCAGCTCCACCTCCATGTTTTTTTGAGGCAGAGTCTTACATAGCTCACGCTGGCATTGAACTCACTGTATTTTGGGTGATCCTGAACTCCTGGCCCTGCTCCCTCTCCCTCTTGAACGAGTTCCAATTACTGCTTAACTGGGCCATATCCCTAGCTCAAAGACCCACATTGTAAGAAGACCCCTCTTGTGACTGTGTGGAGAATAGATTGGAAGGGATATAATAAAAACAAAGAGATTAGAATTAATGAAGATGCTAACTCAATATTGAATTACATATTATTGTGTTATAATTGATAATCTGAGATGCCCACACATGCATTGTCCCAAAGTATATGAAGTTTTAATAGACTATCAGAACCAGACGTACCTCCTACCACTTTGAATCTGCCTATCCTCCCAGCCCTGACCTCACTTTGCTTCAGCTACACAAGCTCCTCCTCACTTGCAGGCATATTCCACCTTGGAGCAGCCCTTATGTTGCTCTTTGCCCAGAATGCTCGTTCCTTTACTATCTGGGTATTCACATCCTCATCTCAGCCTAGACTCAAATCCACCTTCCATGGGTGGCCTCCTCCAACCGTGAAAATTGTAATCACACATATGTGCCCCTAGGCTTCCACTTCGAATCCCACATCTACTTCCCTTTCTTAATTGCCTTTGAGCTCCTTCATGACACCTTTGTCTGTGTGGTTTATAGTCTGTGTCCACTAGAGGGCAGGATTTGTCTTTGCCTATGTATTTCCTCAGCACCTAGCATGGTGCTGAGTATACAGTAGGTATTAAATAAGTGATCTCCTCAGCCACTACACTATACTAATCACACTGACGGTATAGTCTGGGATGTGTACTAATGGGACAAAGGAATAGACATGTCATCTTGGGAGGAAAGGATGCCTGTGTCCACTGTTGCCCGGGTTCTGTATTCTGTGCCACTGGGTCATATCACTCCCAAAGTGGTCCCCTTTTGTCACCAGGACGAAGGCTATCACATTAGGCAGGCCTTTCATAAACTGGGCCATACCCAGCCCTCTAACCTTATCTCTTTCTGCGCCCCAACTTTCTCTCATCTCTGAGGTTAGTGGGTTTCAACGGGTGTGACTTTCCTGAGCCCCAGTATTTTTGCACTTTCCTCACCCACCACTTCTACCCAGCGGACCCTCACTCTCACAGAGCCTCTTCAGAACCCTTCCCCGAAGCCACCTCCTGGGCTAGAGCCCCCACCCTCCCACCTGAGATCCAAGAGCACCCATGTGTTTCTGGGATCACAGTGTGTTTCTTCTTCCTTCAAAATCCACCTCGCCTTGTCTCTGCTAAAGCTGATGCTTCTTATGGAGCCTTTACTAAATGCTGAGTGCTTCTTAGATGGAGTCCTCATATGTAACATCACAGTCCTGCAACCACCCTGGATGACATGATTGTCATTTTATTGAGGAGGAGTTTGAAGCCCAGAGAGTTAAAGCGTTTCGTCCAGGTGTGAAGCTGGGGCTTGAATCCAGAGTTCCCATCCCAGGGGTAACACTCACAACCAGGATGCCATCATGTCCTCTCAGGAGGCATTTGGCAGGCACCGAGTGAGCATTTAGCTCATATGGGCTGAACAGCTGTCACTGCCTCTTTTGTGCTGTGTGTCTGTCCCCATCTCTAGACTTCTCCATTGTGGCGCTGAATCTTTTAGGGAAAAAGCAAGTGGAGCCATAACAATAAACAAAGGCAAGTCAGTGACTGGGAACGGATAAGAAGCCTTTACTGAATAACAAGAAGAGCTAGGCCCATAGTGCTTTTCGTTTCTATGGGCCCTTGTGCTTGGGATGGAGGCTATTTGTTGTGATGGGAGCACAGAGCAGGAGGCATCACAGGAGGCATGAAGATGGTTCAGGTCTCATCACTCTGTTCTAACTGTCCCAGGTCCAGGTGACTTTGAAGGCCCTCATGGGCTGAGGAGGTTCCAAATCTCTTTTTTAAAATCTAGTTGTTGAGGTAGGGGCTGAGGCAGAGGAGGTGGAGTCCTTACTGCCAAGCCAATCTTGAGGCAGGTGCTTGATTAAACCTTTTGCCAAGATGAGCTGTTGGTCTGCTGCAGTAGCCTGAAGGAACTCTGTTTCTCTGCAAATAGTAGCGTGTGTGCGTGTGTGTGTGTGTGTGTGTGTGTGTGTGTGTGTGTGTGTGTGTGTGTTTGTGTATCATCTGTATTCATGCAGCTGGGGTGGCTGGTATGGCCTGAGGGGAGGCATAGCCCCATTACTGTCTATGAGGCTTGGGCAGGCCTGGTTGAGATTGGAAACTTAAAATAGAGCCAAGGGGTTTATTACCATTTGTTGGTTGAAATCATAGTTGGGTGTCCTCCAGAAGCTAGGATGGAGGCCTGGGGATAGGGTTTCAAAACCAAGCCCATTGCAGCCCATGACACTGTCAGTCCATCTGAAATGCCCACCCTACACTAGCATGGCACAGAGATACTCCAAGGTCCAAGAGCAGGAGTTGCTAGCCAAGAACCCAAAAGCATAAGCTCTGTTCTTGGGTATGGTATGGCCTCTCCTGACATCCTATAGTGGAGGAGAGTGGGGACATGTAGAGAGGAAAGGAAATGTGACCAGGGGCTGGACTGCCTCTCCTTGGGCAGTTTTGATGGCTTTGTGGCTTGCTGGACTTTTGGTGGGAACTGAGTTGAAGATCCTCGCTACGGATCATTGTCAAGCTAGACTCAGAGGTAAACATGTCCCAGGAGCCTTGGGTCTCCATTAAGTGGGCAGGAGAACAAACAGAAGGGCCTGGAAGCAACTATGCACGTGGATATGTACATGTGTATGCATGTGTGTATGTACCTGTAGCTTGATGTCTAAGCACAGAGCCACTGAAAGGACAAGTGGGAATCAGCCCCAGGGCTGTGTTTACTCTCAAGTTGCTGCACCCCAGGTTTCTTCAGATGCAAATGGAGATGGGGGAGTACATGTGAGTTCATATGTCTAGATTTCTAACTCTACATCTGGCCCAGTGTTAAGTGCTTAAAAGAACAATGATAGCTAGCAATTTTCACTGAAGCCTCCAGTACACCACTCCGCCCTCCTTGGCCATGCTGTGGTCTCTGGTTGGCATCAGCACTGAAAGGGCAGCCTTTGGTTTCCTGTTCCAGGATATCTGGGACCATGAAACATTGCTGGGTCGTAGACTCTGAGGCCATGTGGTCCTAGGACAGGCTTACTGTATAAGCTATCCAGTTGTTGACTTAATGCTTACCTCCATGCCTATCAAGTTCTTCATTAGAGTTTCTCCTTGGGGAAGCAAGGTCCCAAAGGCTGCAGAAAAGCCAGAGCCAGGCCTCAGGAGGGTCTGGAGAAGACAGTGGTATCCTGGCCATGGAACTGGGGCTGGGATAGGAAGAACTGTGGGGCTGCTGTTTGGGTAGTCTCAACAGAGGCCTTAAGTCTAGGCTCAGTCTAGAAGTTGTACCTCTTTGGGTTGGGGCAGAAGGGTCAGAGCCTCAAGCAGCAGCCATTGGTGGAGGGTTTATCTCTGTGAGTCCTTCACACATTTACCCAAAGCCTTTCCCCCACCACCCTCACTTCTGGAAGCTCCCCCCCCCCCCCCCGTTTTTCTTCTGCATCACTGGTTAGGCCACCAGCATCACTGTCCTAGATAGTAGGCCCTCAGCTAGACTCCCGTCTGACTCAGACACAGCAGCCTAAGAGATCTTCAGATCTGGTTATGACCTTTACCACGTCCGTGCTTACGCCCTTCAGTGGCTGCTCAGCTTGCTCAGCGTGAAACCCAAACTCCACCACTCACAAACCTGCCCTTGTCCAGCTCTCAGACTCAGCTCCCATCCCTCCTGCGGATGCCGCTGATTCTTCACTGATAATGTCCAGGAGAACCGTCTGTGATGGCGAATGCCAGCAATCCAATATGGCTGCTCCTGGCCAGCTGTGACCGTGCATTTAAAATGTGGCTAGTGCTCCCAAGGACTTGAATTCTAGCATTGTTTAATTTTAAGTAACGACCACATATGGCTAGTGGCTACTGCTTTGGACCCAATGACACCCCTTCCAGCTCTTTTTCAAGGACCACGTGGCATTTGCCTTTGTTCCCTGGAAGCTTTTCCTCCTCCTCTCTGCTAAGACCAGCCAGGGTCCTTGGGGCTGGATGGGGGTGACTCATTTCACAACTGAAGTTGTGAATGTCCCCAAACCAACAAACAAAAATCACAAAACTTTAATTAATCGGAAGTCTAAGAACTTAAGTTGGGATTTTAGGGAGAGGGAAAAAAATTCCTGGGCCAGCAAGATGGCTTGGGAGGCAAAAGTACCCGCTGGGCAGGCCTGATGAACTGAGTGTGATCCCTGCAGCTCACAAGGAAGGGAAAACTGCCTCCCAAGAGTTAGCCTCTGCCCGCAATATTTGCACTATGGCGTGTGCACTTGCACTTGCACACACACACACACACACACACACACACAGACACACACATGCACACATAAGAACACAATACTAACATAGAGCTTAACAATCCTAACAGCTATATAACTAACCCTCATTGTCTGTCCCTTTGGATCTATCTTTCAGAAGGGCCTTGGAAAGCTCCATGTGACCTGCCTACTCTTTGCAGGCAGTAAGACTCCATGGGGAAAGGGCCCTATCCAGGACCACATCTCTTTTCAGCCCTTGGGCCAGGGTCTTTGCACAGGACTCAATAATTAATAGTGATAATAATCATTTTTTTTTAAAATGGTAGCTCCAGGTATTAGTAGTTGATGGCTGCTGGGGGGAAGTCATTTTCCAGGGTGGCTGGCTGTAGCCACGGGTAGGTTGCCTATACTCCAGTGAATGGCACCACACCCTTGCACATGTATTGGCAATACTAACTGGAATCATGTGTTATTTTTTTAAAAAGGAAGAAAAGGCATGAAGTTGGGAGGGGAACATGTTGGGAAGAGTAGGAGGTAGATATGATCAACATATATTGCATACATGTATGAAAGTCTCAAAGAACAAATAAAAATATTTTTAAAATGGGAGCCTCCATCTGCAGAAATGAAATGAGACTAATCATTGGGATCACAGGCCACTTGAGACCTCCCCATTATCTTCTAATTATCAATTTGACCTACTAAGTGGGCTCAGGTTATTCTGAAATACCAGCCGCCATAAGGCCTCGAATGGCTGGAAGTCATTGTTATCATGACTAATGGGCACTGGCTCTATAGTATCCACACTGCAGGCACCAGAAAGGTCCTTATCAGGTACAAATGCCATTGCTTCTTAAACTAACCACAACCCAGAAGGGTCTTGATATTTTATAGGCAGAGAAATGGAGTCTTGGGGAAGACACAGAGTTATTGTCCCACAGGTCCCCTTCCCCTACAGTTTTTAAACCCATTTCTCTCTACTCTTTCTCTGAGTCTTGGCTTATTTTGCCCATCAACCTTCTAGTGTGGTTGTTAAAGCAGGATCAAACCCAAGTGGCCAGCAATAGCTTGGGCATAGCTTTGGGCAGTTTGAATGTCATACTTACAGTCTTTGATGGCGGTCTTGGTCTCTTCAGCATCGTTGAAAAAGGAATAACCTGGGAAAGAAAGGGAAAGAGATTCACAAACCATTCCATGCAGTCCAGGTGGCTGGCCAGATGAGAAGGGGGGGTTTTGGAGGAAGGGAAGTGATTCTCCCCTTGGAGGGGTGGGTTTTGTCAGAGGGAAACTTGGACACCATCTGGCCCTTATAAAGCCATCCCGAAGCCAAATAACAACATCATTCTTTTTCAAAGGTTACCCAAGAAGAACAACCGATGCCAGAGATTCCAGAAGGTTCTGTGGATCTGCTGACTGAGCTCTAAGAAAGTGAATCCTGTCTAGGATCCAGGAAATCTGGGCTCTGCACTGAGCTGGATCACTGTTGCCTTTGCGGCTTTGCCAGTCACGGGCTCCCTGGGCTCCCTGGTTAGTCTCAGGGGAATATGAGGTTAAACACCCGCTCTACTCCCTTCTGGCCCTGGGCCTATGATTTCTGACATGGGACTGTAATCCTCAGAGATCAGAATGACTGTGATAGCCAAAGGGAAGAGAATGATAAGCTCAGAGTCACACAGCTCTACTTGGATGCTCAATTCATTGGAAGACCATGTTGGTTCCTTACTCTGTAGAGTGGTGAGCTGGGCTGGAGTTTATGATCATGTTTCCAGGAAGCAGACCAGGTCAACAGACACTTATTTCCTAACCTGGTGTCTACCATGAAGGCTACTTTCTCTTTCCTAACACAAGTGGGACACTCTGGCTAAAGGGCCATCAAGAACAGGGGCAGGACTGATGAGAAATATTTCATGTCTCTCATTGTGGACCCAGAGTCAGACGTTCTCAAAGCTTTCTGGTTTGAAAAAAACAGCGCATGCTCTTAGTGTTCCCATGCTACTGGTGCCACCTTCTGGCCACTGGATCCTTGACCAAAAGGAATGTACTAAGAAAGGCAGCTCTTGGACTCCTCTAGAAATTGGAAGGGGAAAGGTCTCTTTCATTGTCTCCCTCTCTGCTTAGCCTGGGAAGAAGGAGAACGCTCTTTTTGCTCTCGAGAGCACTCTTTTTTGCTCACCTTTCATGGTTTCAATCAGTTCCGAACATCCTTGTTTGAGGCTTTCAGGCTGGCTTTGGACTTCCTTACTCATGCTTGAGTTTTACTTTTCCTTGATACAAAACCCTACCCAACTTGCTTTCCTGGCTCTTGCTTTCCTTTTGACTAAACTCTCAGCATGGGACAGTAGAGTTTCTGGTTACTGAGCGCTTGTGACTGTGCACTGGTAACATTGGGTTATGAGACTCATGGGAGGGGAAAGCTCTCAGCAGGGACCCGGTCCCAGTCTCAGGCCCTCCTCCTGAGGCTCCCTGGCACTGACCTTGGGATCGAATGTTCTGGAGGATGAAGTACAGGTACTCCCCACAGATGCCGGCTGCCTCAATGAACTCCTCCTGCGTCATGCTGCACAGCTGCAGGCCGCTGACATTGAAGTGACAGAAGGAGATGCAGTTGGCGTCAAGTTTGTACTGATCGCAGCAGAACTGGAGCCATTCCCATACATGGCGCTTGGTCCAGTATTCAGGGTGCACTGATGTCCAGTAGGAGTCACAGGCTGCACCAGAGCACAGAAAATTAAGGGGGGGGGACAGTCTTTCAAGGGTCTCCAAAGAATAACTCCAAAGAAAGTTATGTTAGCATCCTTGTCCCTTACCCAGTGGGCAGAAAAGGGCTCTAGTTCTGGCATGGAGTTGCAAGGGTCCAGGTCATCTTCTGTGCAAAGACGACCAGAGAGACAGAGGTCTGTAGGTGGTAACTGGTGCCAGAGGGAGTCCGAGGCAGGTGGGAAAGTATTATATCTCTTTCTGGTGCTTAAGAGGAGCGTACCCAATAGAGAAGGAAAGCAAAAATATTCTTCAGGCAACATGGAATAAGAACTTAGGAGCTCTGAAGGCCTGGGCTCAAATCCTGATTTAGCTGCTTGCCTTTTGGGGAGGGTCCATAGATATTTGGTCCTCTGAATCCACAGCTGAAAACCAGGAATAATATGTTTGACCTATAGGGTTGTTATAGTTTGGAGTTATAGAGCTGTAGAGTTTGGAGGCCAGTGCCTGAGGAATTTCCCATCAATTCAATAGTTATTAGATGCCTTCTGTATGCTGGATTCTGTCTGGAACTGGTTTGAGTCTCTGTGCATTAATGGAAAGATGCCCATGCTGGCTACCTGTTTGTGCATAGCCTCTGGTCATCTTTTAACAAGGGTCTTGGGCTAATTGGACATTGCCCATAGTGTGGTAGACTTTCAACCACCATAACAGATGTCTGTGGAGGAAGGAGATCATGGAGGAGTTGGCTGTACTGATGTTCCTGTGTTCCCGGTGGTGGTTTAAGGTTTATTCTTTCCTGTGGTCAGACTACCTACTCCTTCAAAGGATCTATGTAGATACTCAGACAGTTGCAGGAGCCATCCTGACTTGGAGGCTGGGATATCTGTAGTAGCACCCTGTTCAGGTGCTCAACAGTCTTGTCTCAATGTTTTCAGCAAAAACAGATAGGATGGCAGATATCAGAATAGACAAGTGGAGGTACCAGACACTTAGACTTTAGATGGCTGTAGACAGCTAGTTGTACAGGCTAGGTAAGCCCTTTACCACTGAGCTACACCCCCAGATCTGATGTAAATAATTCTTGTAATCACCATAGCATCTATCCATTTACTCACCTATCAATCCATGGCCCATTCATCAATCCACCCACCAACCCACCCCCCTGCTGTCCATCCATCTAATAACTGAGAACTTCACTTTCCCTGTTCATCAACTGGAGACAACTATAGCACACAGGGTTGTTCCCTACATCATAGGGCTGTTCTACAGATTAAACGGGCTCACGTATGTTCTAATGCTGTTATTAATGCTGTGGCTGTCCACCGACTTTGTGTGATGCCACAAATGGCATGGTAGGAATTCGTGGTGGACAGACACGTTTAGCCTTTGTCTCCTGAGAGATGAGGAACTCGAGGATTACGGGAGACTCATTTTCCTTAGATCCAACTGCCAGCGGGTAGTGAAGCTGGGATGTGAGCTGCAGTCTACATGCCTCGCTCTTCTCATCCCCCTGTAGTTAGTTGTCCTGGGAGGATCAGCACAGAAAGGAGATGGCGCACGAAGAGAGAGGTAGGCAGAGAGCTGGAGAGAATGAGAGGGAAGTCAGCAGAGCATGGCTGTGGTGACTGGCTCAGGCCCTGAGGATAATGGAAAGTGACATCCTGCAGTGATACTCCACAGCAACGGGCATTGTTGGCATTGCTCTCCCTCTGCCTCTAAAGCCTCGCACTCCCAGCCTCTGGGCCTCCATGAGCCCAGCTAGGAGACAGCTCTGCCTGCTGGGGTCCACCTCTTGTTCATTACTTTTGAGGTGCCTAGTCCTGAAGGGCAATTTTCTGGTTTCTCAAATTCCCCCAGTGATCCTACCTCATAGGTATGACAGGGCATCTTCTATCTTTCATAAAGATAGAAGCTGAGTTTCCCTCTAAAATGCAGACCCCTTCTAGAAATCTCTTTTCCCACTGTTGAGCCTCTTGGTAAGCCCAAATCCTAGACTTATTTTATTTTAAAAATTTAACCATTTTTTTTTCTTTCTTTTTTCCTTCTGGGGCTGGAAATTGAGCCCAGGGCCTCATGCATGTGTATCAAGTGATCTATTCAAATCACCAGCTTTTTAACCAGAATTTTACATTCACATACATGAAAGAGTCTGTATTTCGGCAGGCTGGTGGGTGCTGGTGCTGCAGCCTTTGCCCCATACATCGAGGGGGTGGTTTGACCCAACTACCCTTTCCTTGACCCCCCCCCCAGTGCTGGCTGGAGCTGGCTGATCAGGCTCATGGCTGGTTCCTGGCAGAGGGCAGGGTCTCCTGAGAAAACAGACGCTTCCTGTGTTCTGTCTGTGCCTTTTCATCTACTGATTTCTGGCTTGAGTAAACCTAAGCGGCCTTTAGACGTTCCTGGTATTCTGATGAGAGATGTTTATGATCCTTGACATTCTTTGGCTGCTGGTCCTGCACTGGGCCCTGACTGAGATGGCTATCGGTGCACTGCTGTGTAGCACACAGCACGTTTCTCTTCATGGAAAGGTTTTGCTGTGTCTCTGTTCCCTTCCCCTCTCCATTTCCACTGCAGGCTTATTTTGTTTGGCTTCTGAAGGAAGCCTACGTTGTTTCTGGAAGCCAAGAAAGCCTTCAGAATCTAGAGAAGTGGGAGGTGGGAGGTCAGTCCCAACATCAGGAAGGTGTTGCTGGCCTGGTGCCCCGCTCTCAGCTCCTTGGTGGAGCTCACTTACAGAGCCGTCTTTGTGTGCAGCAGGGGCCTGGGGCCCAGTTACATGGTGGCTGGCTTTCCTGTCTGCAAAAGCCCTTCCCACAGTCTCCAGAGCTGGGAAGAAATGGCTGTTCACAGTGACGTGGAGGTAGGGCTAGGGGAGCCAACATCCACAGAGACATTTTGGTGGTGGAGTGATTCCATGGTCTCAGCCTTAGGATGAGGTGGAGGCTTCAGTGGCGCCCCTGAGGAAGGGAGGAATCCTGCCCCAAGGCCTCTATTACCTGCTGCTCTGTCACTCCCTGCTCTCTGCCTGAAAGTGCCTTTCCCCATTCTGCTGACTCCTGAGTGGTTCCTGCTCTCCCTGAGCCACAACTGCTCACTTACTCTCTAAAAGACTCTTCCCCCTCAGGTGCCCTTCTCAGAAGGTTCCAGAAGGATTTGCAGCACCTGCCTCCCCAGATATTGAGCTCTGTTCACCCTGAATCAGGAGTGCTAAGGGCCTCTTCCCATCCCCCGCCCCCAACCCCACAGGTCCTCAGTTAGTGTTACCAGATCACAGTGATTATGATCTTTACCTTAAGGTAAGGAAACAGGTTCTGGGAGGTTACATGGTTCTCCCACCAGGGTCACAGCGGCCATTAGTAAGGTAGTTAGGCACCATGTGGACATTTTGCATCATGCCACATTTCCTGGTCCTAGAGGACCAAGCTGGTGCACATATCAAAAACAAGATTTGGATGAAGGTAGGCAGGCAGGCAGGCAGATGGATGCATATTCACCATACTATTATAAGTCAGTAAGTCTGTCCTCTATCTATCTATCTATCTATCTATCTATCTATCTATCTATTTATCATATCATCTATCTCTATCATCTATCATATCATATCATATCTATCATCTATCTATCTAAAACTTAGGTCTGAAAAATCAGGAAGTAGATGGAGAGGTAACGATACCAGTGCCTCCAATCCTAGGAAATGACAAAAAAAAGAGTCTTCTAGTGTTTGGAAGAAATGAACTTAGGGCAAATCAAAGAAGGGACTATTTATATAAGACTATATTCTCTTCCTGGGTCATATTGTCTGGAAAGGTGCAGTGTTTTCCTTAACATGCCTCTCATTTACAAAACCCACTGAACTCTTTGGGGGAGCTGTGCTGTGAGGCCCATGTGCCTAGGTTATAGTTGAGGCCAGCCAGTATCCTGTGCCCAGAAAGCTTGATGGAGAAGTCCAGAGGCCACTATTAAGCAGCAGGCTTTGCCAGCATCTCCTTTGAAGTCTGAAGTGGGTCAGGGCACTTGAGGGTCAGCTGCCTTGAGAAGAAAAACTGAGGAGCCTGAGAGATCTGTCACTGTTTCCAGGGGACTTCTCTCCAATAAAGCTATCAAGTTGGATGTGTTTAACTTCACTGGGACTTCAGCTTTCCCAGCTGGCTGCTTTGCTCCAAGGCCCTCAGGGTGGGGAGGTGACACCCATGCCTGAAGTAGTGCCAGGTAGGGACATGGAGATTAGAAAGTTCATACCAGAGTGGACATAGCAGGCCTGTGTTCACTCTCAGAGTCAGGAACAACTAGAACCAAGCAAATGCAGTCCCAGGCGAGGGGGAGACAGACAGTCTCCTTTAGAGGAGGCCTGGGTTAGACAACTTGGGACCATAATTAGAATGATTTATTGGCACAGGGCCTTGGGAAAGTTTTTCGCCCAAGGCGACACTGTGGAGAGGTGGAGAGTGAACTGGGTAGTGGAGGGCACCGTCAATTGCTGCTTTGTCACAGAAAGGAAGGACTTTATGAGGGAAGTCCTGTGGTGATAAATGGCTTCTTCCAGCCTTCCTCTCAGAGCTGGGCTGGCCCCATCCTTTAACCTTTCTTGGCTTTCATCCTAGCCTTGGCATGACTTAGACCATGAGCAGTGGAAGAAACTGGATGGAGAAAAGAGGAGGGATGGCTGGGTGTCTGCAAAGAGCCATGACCTTGAGAGTCAGGGAGAGGCTGAGAGAGCCAGGCCTGAGCAGTGCGGAGTGCGGCTTCTCTGAAAGCCTCAAAGGGTAGACAGACCAGAGGTAGCCAGTAGTGACGTCTCTGAGATGCGACTTCTGCTACAGGACTCAACTTAGACTTTTGAATGATTTTGTGTGTGTTCTTTGATTTTTTTTTGTTTGTTTGTTTGGTTGGTTTTTCGAGACAGGGTTTCTCTGTGTAGCTTTGCACCTTTTCTGGAACTCGCTTTGGAGACCAGGCTGGCCTCGAACTCATAGAGATCCGCCTGCCTCTGCCTCCCGGGTGCTGGGATTAAAGGTGTACACCACCACCACCTGGAGTGTTCTTTGATTTTGATTTAGAAATTTTTAGGCCTGTACCCTGGATGTGCTCTTCAACTTCTGTATCCAGCACATGACTCTTACTTAGAAAAGCCCAGGTGTAATTTAAATGCTTTCCCTTTTGAGTTTAACATTTAAGATTTTTTTTTTGCACTATTCTTTTAAAAAGCTTTTCTTGAAATTGGATAATCAGAGCTGTTATATTTCTTTTTATCTTCTTTTTAGAGACAGGGTCTCACAGAGATCAACCAGCCTCTGCCTCCCCAGTACTGGGATTAAAGGCATGTGCCATCACACTTGGCCCAACAGCTCTTGAGTCTCCGAGGGCTCTTAGGCACTAGTCACCCTGCTAAACACTGATTTTCATGTTATCTTCAATATGTTCTATGGGGTCTTAGATCACAGCACCCATTTTACAAACAGAGAAAGGAAGGCCCCAGGAGACAGCCCTTTTTAAAGTCACACAATGGGTAAGGGACAGAGCTAGAATTGGGTGATATGGGCGCCATCCTGCTCCTGCAGCTGAACCTGGATAACAGCTATGCAGAATGAAAATGGAAGAATCTGCCTGAGGGTGGGGGTGCAGAGGGGAGAGCCAGCTTCTAGTCTTCCCCACCACCACCCAGGCTCTGTATGGTAGACTTGAGGGGCCTCTTGAAACGTCTTCCCTAGGGCTTCCCCAGGCTAGAAAGCTCCTCTGTGGAAAAAGTATAAGCCAAATTCCAAAGTGAAGGAGGTGCCGCATATTGGCATGACCATTTTGAAGGTCAGGGAAGAGGTGTGTGGGGAGGGGGATATCTAGGGTGGAACTCCAGGAAGTGGGGGTGAGGCCAGAGCTTTTTAGAAGGTGGACTATTAGAACTTAATTGGACTTGTAATCTTTTAAAAATATATGCCTGTGAAATCTGCTATGGTGGCATGTACTTATAATCCCCGTACTGAGGTAGCCAGTGGAGTTGGAGACCAGCCTGTCCTGTTCTAGGACAGCCAGCACTACAGAGTGATACCCTGTCTCCAAAAAGCACAGTGGCCCAGACCTTTAATCCACAGTGGCACACACCTTTAATCTCAGCACTCAGGAGGGCAGAGGCAGGCAGATCTTTGTGAGTTTGAGGCCAGGATGCTCTGCAGAGTGAGTTCCAGGATAGAAAAGGCTACACAGAGAAATCTTGTCTTGAAAGACTAAAAACAAAAACTAAACAACAATAAAAACCCGTGTGTGTGTGTGTGTGTGTGTGTGTGTGTGTGTGTGTGTGTGTGTGTATTTCATACAATATATGTGCATATGGAGTACAGAGTTTCTACCAATAAATTGTCTAATACTGACAATTTTCTATTTTGAAAAAGCTGAAGCCAAGGCCAAGACGAATTAATGAAGTTTGAGAGTATTTTGCAATCTGTGACTGTGCCCTTTCCAACCTTTAGTGCAGTCAACCAAAAGTCCTGCTTCAAAGAGCAGGGCCAAATCCTTTGTGATAAGCGCATTGAGGACACAGGCTTTCTGCTGAAGTCGTTTGCAAAGTCCGAACACAACCGGTTTTCCTCAGCAGGCTGAACACAACACTGCGCCTCCCCCTCTCCTAGACATCACTTGTCTACAGGGCGCATCTCCTCCTCCTCACTTCCTTTGCCTTGGGTCTCAATTCCAGATTGGGAGGGTTACTACTGAGATCTGGGCTGGAGGATGGAGAGAGGAAGGCAATGGCTGTTTTCTAGCTGTTAGGAGTTGTGAGGTGGTCCTGCATGGGATGAGCATCTAACAAGTGCCAATCCTTTGTGTCTAAACACCTGATAACAGGATGAACTCTCATTTCACATGCTCAGCTTTAGGGAGGGGGTACTATTCTGGTGAAGGAAAATGTGTCAAAAAGCTTGATGTCATATGGCTGACAAGTAGCAATGTCTAAATTCAAGATGGAGATCTGTGGGCAGCAAGGAGACATGCTTGAGGAAGCAGGGGCCAGGGCCTCCTGACTTCCCCCAATCTGCTCCTGGTAGAGAAGGCTTTCATAGAAACTCAGACGCACATGTCACTTCTCTGACAATGTTCTTCTTGGGAAAAGACAAGAGGATATTTTATTTTCACTGGTCTCACATCTTGATGGAGATTTCAAATGTTTTATATGGTGGTGAGAGAAGTGTATGTTTCTGATGTCTTCTGATGGGGATTCAGAGACACTTCTGGAAGAATCTTAGCAATGACATTGTCTCACCTTTCATCACACCAATGGAAATGCCAAGGGGAAGACTACCCCCAGGAATCCAAGAGTGTAGAGAATTAAATTACATGGTCAGTTCCCTTGGTGATCCCTTCTGTTAATGGAATATATATATATATATATATATATATATATATATATATATATATATATATATATATATATATATATATTTGGTTTTTCAAGACAGAGTTTCTCTGTGTAGCACAGGCTGCCCTGTAACTCACCCGGTAGGCTAGTCTCAGACTCAGAGATCCGCCTGCCTCTGCCTCCTGAGTGCTGGGATTAAAGGTGTGTGCCACCATGCCCTGGGTATTTTAACCCTTTTAAAGTGTACAGTTCAGTGACATGAAGTATGTTCACATTGTTATGCAAATATTAGCACAACCATCAGCTCTAGAACTTTCTCTTTACCCCCAGCTGGAAGTAGTCCTGAGTTTTGTTGGTGCCAGCCTCTACCACCATCATCATCCTCATCATAGAGGAGGCTGGAGCATGAGAGGCTAAACTGGAGTGAACAGTGTCAAGGCCACTTTTCACTTAAAGGTCACATGGAACCGGGTCTAGACTCCGGTCAAGTACAGAAGCTACTGCTCCTGTCATCAGGGCATCCTGTAGGCACAGTGCTGAGACCATCTCCCTACTGTTACCCAAATGTCACCAAATCCTGGAGAACAGGCACCAACAGCATGAAAGAGCGAAGACCCTAACGCCTTCATTTTCTTCTTTTCCCATTAACCTCTTATCCAAACTTTGGAGGAAAGGAGGTGAATTACATTGTTCACCATTTTGAGGGAATCCAGATACTTCTTGGGATCAAAGGAGAATTGTACTATGTACTCAAATGAGTCAAGTCCAAAGACTGTGATCTTTCAACATTGTGACATGGAATTGTCATCTGCAAAGTTCACTTTGAGAACTGTGCTACTTATTGACTTACAAAAAATATTGCAGAAGAAATATCTCATAATGTTTTATGACAGCGTATGATTTTTGTGTTGGGCCCCATTTACAGCTATCCTTCAGTGCATGTGGACTATACAGACCATGGGTTGGATAAACCTGATAGATCTTTCAGCTGAGAGTGAGAGATTTCATGTGTGCATGTGTGTGTGGCAGGGTGCTGGGGGGCAGGAGTGTGTGTGTACATTACTGAGTGATTTAGGAATCACTTCCATTCTGGGTGTGCAGCCCTGGCCTCTAGCTCTCACTAAAGGCAGGGGCTTCCTTGTGGCGGTGGCAGTGACAGTGTGGACGCCTCCTGATCTCTCCCTACCTCTAGACTCTAGGTTCAGCCCTGACCAGGCTGGCGTGCTCAGGGTTAAGTCTCCACAAGGACTGACAGCCTCACTGGTGTTTGCATCACCTGTGGGGTGTACGCCTGCCATGCCATCAGCCAGCTGGGGTTGCTGGCATGTGCAGTCACCCAAGCACTTACTCAGGCATGGAGGCCTCAGAGGGTTTCTGGGGCAAAGCTCAGCTGGCCTCCCTCTGCAATGAGATTTACATAAGGTCTCCAGCTTCCTTCTTAGGTACAGAAAACTGAGCTGGGGGTTGGGAGGGAGAAGGGGAGTGAGAGGAGGGTGAAGAGGAGGCCTTAGGACTGGCAGGGGACTCATGTTTACTGCACATAACTTTGAGGCAGGCTGCACAGTTTATACTGAAGTAGGAAGAAGTAGGAGTGAGGATTCTAGTCCTTTTCTTCCCATACAACGCCGTACTTCCTTCCCTGTGGCTTCCCACCAGCATCTGCCCTGAACACTGGCATTTCTAGGTTGCCCTGGACCAGTCCATCCTGCCTGAGCCCAGTCCCACTTCCCTTGAATGGGAACCCCCAGATGGACGGACGTACCTGTCTGATGTTCAAAGGCAGGGTAATATTCTTCATTGCTGAACAAATCAGTCCAAGACATCAGGGGGTCACAGAAGGATGTGTTGGGCAGAAAGGTGCTATGGGTTACGGAGTCCAACATCACCCTGGAATATCAGAGAGGCTGTGAGGATGCGTGGAACATGGGCTTCCGCAAGCCACATAGTGTGGAAACTCCCAATAGAATGGCCCTTAGCTTTTGACAAGGGCAGTGGCTGGGCACTCCCATGAAGTGTTTTCCACAGACAGTGTTTTTTGGTCCTCACCACATCCTGTCTATTCCCATTGCACCTATGAGAAAACTGAGCCAAAGGAGTTGAGACAGTCGCCCAAGTAATATAACAAGAAGTTGCAGAACTGGGATATGAGGATAGAGGCTCATATTGTGCAATCCTGCCTCTTTATTGACTTTTTCTCTTTGCTCATGCCTGACCACCCCCTCTCTCTATATATAAATAAAATATTTATATATAGCATATATAATACATATTTTATATAAGAGTGCACTTTGGAAAATGGGTCAAGTATTGCCTTGTGTGATTCTATCTAACATGCTGAAATTAGAGAGCTCTGAAAATTTCTGTGTGTTAGCATGTGCATGAGTTTGCCACAATCTTATTTCCCAGCAAAAGAGTCCTGAACTGATGTCGGAAAGTTTTTATGCACTAGCTATGTGCATGGTATCACACTATGTTATAGCTGTAGTTAATTTATTCCAGTCAGCGAATATTTACATGATACCCTGCAGCAATATTAATGTGCTGGAGCAATCCTGGATCCTCCTAGGAGCTCTGTTTCTACAGGATGTATACCATATCCCATTCCCGACACTGGGGAGTTCTGAATACTCCAGTCCACTCCGCTTCAGGTGTGTGGAGAGTACTGTGCTTAAGTCCTCTAGTACTTTCCTCAGAGCAACCACTCTGATGGGTTCTGGGAAAAGTTCTGTTTTGGGGAGGAAGGATGGGGGCTCTGAGATTCTAGGTAGAAGCACAAGCTACCTCAGCTCACAGGAGAGGGAATTTGAGAGGCAGCTCGGGTGGGCCTGCTTGGGAAGGCCCTGATCTTACCTGCAGCACTCTGCTCCCTGAGCACTTGACGGCACTTGGAGGGGAGCTCACGCAAAGGTGTCGGGCTGAGGCTGGACAGAAGACTGTGTTCCTGCCCTGCCCACCTCACTTTGCTGCTGCCCATAGGGCCAAACGCTACCTCTGTGCCGTGTTCTGTATCTCCACAATGTGTGTGTGTGTGTGTGTGTGTGTGTGTGTGTGTGTGTGTGTGTGTGTAGGGGGTCATATTTGGAAGGTTTTTTTTTTCAAAGCTTAACTTGGTGTTCTTTAATTCTTGAAATATAATTAAGGAGATAAGCTGGTTCAAACTCTATTCGCAGGGAGGACACGTAGCTCGAAATCGCAGTACTGGCAAAGGCCAGGGCAAAAGTGAGATGCCAGGTCCAGGACATCGTGAGATAGAATCGGACTGTACGAGCGCTTCTCCATCGTTTAGTCCAGTGTCCTTCAAGCTGCATCATTTTACCCGTCCCTGTGATAATTGTCCTGAATCCACTGGCTTCTCCGAACACAATGGATTAAAATTTCGAACAACAACCACCTTTTTTTTCTTTAAAGTAAATGTGTCTTTAAAGGGAAAACTTCATATCATTACTATAAAGGGAAAGCCAGTATTCTTTAATATACATAAAAATGAATGTATAACCTCAAAAAGAAATGGCTCATTCACGTACCACCTAAATCAGCAGTTAGCTATCTGCAACCAGCCAATCCAGCCCCCATCTCCTTTCTTTATCTATCCTGAAGCTAGAAATCCTTTCAGATTTTGAAATACCTGTTTTCTTAGCATTCTTGAATTTTGTCTTTTGGCCAGCGAATCATAAAATATTTACTACCCGGCCCTTTGAGGCATTTGCCAACCTCTGGGCAGAATTACCTCCTGCTTCCCCAGGCCTGTAGTACCAGGGATGGAAAATACACTCCACCATTTGATAGGGAAGGAAGTGGAGAGCCAGGGAATCTGTGTCACTTGCTCAAGGTCACACAGCCAATGGACAGCAGAGTTAAGCTTGAGGGAAGCCCTAACTTTCCCATGAGCTCTGTTAGCTTCCCTATCTAAAGGCACAGTTTCTTCCCAGGCACATTTATATGATAGTTACTAAGAGTCACAGGGGTCTTTTGAGATGCTCACAAATCTACCATCATGTTTACCATTCAGTGTGCAGAACTGTATGCTGATAAATAAAAGCAAGAGTTTAGGTTCTTCATCTTGGGTATCCTCTCTGGGCCAGCCCCAGTATATTCCCTAGGTCCCAACCTTTTTTTGATTCCTGGACAGGATTAATGGGCTCTGCAGTTATGACAACCACGGATCTCACCTGGGAGCTGACAATCAGAAGCCAAGGCTTCCTGGGTTTAGGCTCTCATTTTCCCATGGATTGGCCAGCTTTCTATCTTGAGTCTGTACCAGGTGGGGGTGGGGGTGGGGAAGCCAGGGAGCAGGATTAAGGCTGAATACCACACTTAATCTGAACTCAACTTCTGGGAAATCTTGTAAGTGTGAGCAAAGGATACAAAGAACCTCACTCTTTTTGGGCAGGACATTCAGAACACTTCTGACATGACCTTAACTGAATTTGGAGAAACTAGAGGTGGGCCCCAAATGGAAGACAACAGAACACAGTCTCCAGATCTTCAAAGTCGATGGGGCATCCTCCAAAGATTAAACCCGACCTTGACTTTGCCCTTCTTCACCCACACCTGACATATGGAGGCATTTAGTATTTCACAAGAAAGTCATTTAGTAAATTGAACTGGATCTTACAAAGCTCAGGACTGTTTTTGATCAGTGGGGTGTTTACCCTCTTTCAGGATTTCGCTGCCCCCTGCACACCAGCCCACCCCCTCGATCTCTAATCTCTTCAGGGCTGTACACAATGACGGATTTGGTTCCCTTGGATAATTCCTTCTATGGCAAATTATACCCATTAGGTTTGTTTAGAGGGCTTAGCTGGTATATACCATGCTGTTTTCCTTCCACAGTTATTTCTTGCTTCTTTGGTGGTGGTGGTGGGGTCTTTTATGAACGCCGTGAACATTTCTTTCCTTCTTTCTTTCTTATTTTGCTATTGTCGTAAGAGGAGGCGTTATTAAGTCTAAGCTCACCACAAAAGGCCATGGCTACTTAGCCAGCATGCACTAGGTGTGCAAGTTCAGGAATAAAGGCTGCTTTGTGTTCAGCAGAACCTTTTCTTTAGGCCTTGGAAGGTGCTTGCAGTAATTGGACATTTTGACTGTTTCTTCAGTGTAGGTGGATCACCAATGTGGTACCCTCTTCTCAGTGAGGATTCTGGACCAGCCATATGTTAGACCGGGTCTGGTTTTGTCCAGCCACATTCTCAATAGGTATGGGGGTGAAGAAGGGCTCTGAGGGGAGGTGGTAAGGAAAATAAGGCAGGAAAGGACTGGGCTAGAGAGGCCTAGCATTGTGCAAGACGAAAAGGGGACACTAGAAGGTTCCTGGGCCCGCTGGTCTACCCACACTCTGGCTTGTCATTTTAAAGATCCCTGAACTTGGAGTCATGATCCTGCTTTTTGCACCTCTCTAGGACCTTAGTTATTCACCTATGACAGGAGGACACTAACGGTTGGACTCAAGGCCAACCCTGGCTCTGTGGTTTTCTTCAGGTTCCCACTTGATCAGCCAGACACTTTCAAGTCTGTACACACGTACACACGCACAGCCACATTAGTAACATTTGCACTTCAGACAAGTGAAGTCTCCAAATAAGCAAAATACAACTAGTACTGACACAGAGTAACCTGTAGCCCCAGAAAGCCGTCTGGTTCCCCCTTCCTCCTTCCCTCTTATGCTCAGTTGAACAACGTGGCCAGATACCTTAGATGTCCTGGACCCTCACTCCCTGACTTTTGAACAGCAGATGGAAGCAGTTTGTCCTACATTAGTTACTGCTCTGGCTGCCTCATAAATAGGAAAAGATTGGTATGATCAACCCCAAGATGGTGAAGTCAGGCGAGCTCTCTCCTACTGTTAAGAAGGCTGATTGTAGGTACCTTTGGAGTGAGTCAGGGATGACCTGGAGCTGAGAGCCTCCAGTGACTTCCTGTCCCCTTCTGGAGCAAGCTCATACACCATACACACACACACACACACACACACACACACACACACACACACACACACACACACGGTCCCACCCAGCGAAAGAGCCAGGCTCATGGGCTTCCATCCTACTTACAAACTCATCGGAGAAAGAACAGGTACAGTGCCCATGGCCTCAACCACCAGAGAGAAGTGAGGGTGTAAACCACCCAACCTTGGCCAATATGCCAGAAGAGGAAAATTCCTCCTTGACCCTGGCCAGGATCATCAAGTTCATTTTGGGCATGCGACCAAAAACCTACCTAATTAAGCATCTACACTTTGACTATGTCTCTCCTTCCCATTCCCCTTTTTTCCTCCCCTCCCCATCTCTGATGTGTGGACTTGCTATGCAGATCAGGCTAGTCTCAAACTTGAGGCAGTCCTCCTGCTTCTACCTCCTGAATGTCCGTGTACAGGCATTGACTATTTCTTTGTCAAAACGTCTTTGAACAAAGCCACACCGGTTCAAAAGCAGGGAAAGCCTGAGAAAGGCTGTCCCCAATGCTGCCATCTGGGCAGTGCCACTGAGTAGAGAAATGCTTTTTCTCCTCTAAAGCTTCAGGACACCTGACTGTCCACTGAGTCCAGAACCCTACAGACAAGGAATGTCAATGTTCCACCCTTTGGGGCTCTTTAAGCGGGGCAGGATACAGAGGGCTCAATGAGGGTATTTCAACACTTGCAATAAAGGAAGGCTTGTGGGTTGGGTACTTGAGTATTTGTTCTGGAAGGAACCACAGCATTGTGGGAACCAACTTGTTGATGGCTTATCGAGCAATTCTTCATTTTTTTTTTTTTTAGCTTACTTAGGACTTCATTTGTTTGTTTTTAGCTGTTTTTCTGGAGGCTCATAGAAGGAAGCTGTGGGTTTTGATGCAAGGATCACAAGTTTTAGGTTAAAGACACAAGGAATAAAAATTGCTTGTGTTGTTCGCGAAGCAAGAGATGTGGGGTACAGTTCCTAACTACTTAGCCCGCTGCAATTTCTAACTTTCTTGCCTGCATGCTAAAAGTTTTGATTTTTTTTTCCATTCTGGTCTGCTATGTAAGTACTCACGACCATCTCTGATATGCCACTTCCTCATTCTTAAAATGGACATTTTTCACACACAATCCTCCGAATGTCCTGAGGATTTAATAAAACCGGCT